GAATTCAAATATCTAGGTTTCATCTGGACGGACAAACTATCACTTCAGCCAATAGTTGAAAAATCTATAGGAAATATTCAGAGATCATTAGGAAAACTTAAATGACTAAAATCAGGACGTACTTTGTGGTGTAAGGCTCTTCGTCAATGTTTCTTTACATTCACTTTTCCCCATTTCGCGTGGTTATTCTCCGTCTATCATCTTCTTCCAGAATCTCTAAAGGTTGAGCTACAACAAAAATTCCGTGCAGCACTGCGACTGGTACATCGCTGCCCTTTTATTTCTGCTCATAATTTGTTCAATTTCACATCTGAATATCACTTCGAATTTTATGTTAAAAATTATATCCAAAGAAGATTAAAAGGTATATCTACGACGGATATCGGCTTCTCACCTTTCTATGAGAATGTTTTCATTTGCGATACTTTTTTCCAAAAGGAAAAACGATCACCTTGGCCATTCTTTTCCGCTCACGTCGTGTCCGACAATTAATTGATCGACACGAATCGTTTCTCTTAAAGTAGGTGTCTTTTACTGACGAGAATTGATTCCATAAAAATAAAGAATGAAACGATAATTTGTTTCAATACCCCATGGTGTTCTTTTTTGTCCCTGTTTATTTTGTTTCTGTTCCTTTTTCAATTGTTCTCTCTCTCTTGTTTCACTTTTCTTTCTTTTTGCTATTCTTCTGCTGCTCGTTCTACTCATATATCTTAACTGCTGCTTATCAATCAATTTGCTCGGCTTTCACTTTCTCTTTTATTTTTATTTTACCCCTAAAAGCGTGATATACGATTGTCTGCGTATTAAGATTGGTGGTGTATATGCAATAACTCGCTCCTTGGCGCAGAGTTTAGCCTAAAAAATCATCTTTTAACATGTAAGCACTTCCAAGTGCAACATTCTCAAGCCTAATAAAAAAAAAAAAAAAAGTAAATTGATAATGAGTGTCACGAGTTGAAAATGCAATTTTAGGACAGTTCTCTTTAGATAGAGGTACATAGAAATAACCAGATTTAAAACAGAATTTTGTATAATACATTCTATCGGATAATTGATCGAAAATTTCATCGATTTGAGGAAGTGGAAATGCATCTTTAATCGTAATAGCATTTAAACGTCTATAATCAATACAAAATCGCATGGTTTTGTCTTTCTTCTTGACAAGAACAATAGGCGATGACCACACAGAAGTTGACTCTTCAATTTGACCACGTTCTAATAACTTTTGTGTTTCTTGAAATTTGACTTTCTTGATCTTTAGACGAAGTGAGGTATTCTTTCGAATAAATAGGTGGATGATCACCAGTTTTAATTGCTGATTACGAAGGAATATTAATAATCGATGGTGTAGGATCAAATATTATTTTATTTCTCCACAATATAACTTGAATTGTTAATTGATGTTTTTGATTTTCTATGTTTAATTGATTCGAGTATTTGTTTTCGAACCTGTTCGGAATAACATTCTGCTCGTAAATGTTTTTGTAAATCATTTCCAGATAAAAAATATTCATTGCAACGATGACAAATGATATTTAATTTTTCTTGATTCGAGCTGTCTTTCGTGTTTAAGACAGCTCTGTTGCTAATTTTTTTGTAATGTCGAGATGATGATTGATGATGTTCACTTAAAATAGAATTTTGCGTTGTTGAAATTTGTGTAGTTGCATATATAGTATATGTTGCATCATGGGACATGGTTCCGATTCGTGTGTTTTTTGATAAAGTTCGTTGTTGATTTTGTGCATTTATTAATAATACTTTGGCTTGATTTTTATTAATATTCTGTAATGTATTTGGTTTAAAAATAAATTTTGATATATGACGTTCATATGGTTCAAATATAAGATTATTAGCATCAGTAATTTGACATGTGTTATCAAGTAATTTTTCTGAATATAGAGAACGAGTAATTTGATGAACTAATAATGCTGGATAATTAATAAAAGTAGGTTTCACATAAGGAATTGAAATTAATTGACCACGTTGATCAGGGATAGTTAATTGTTTCTGGTCACTAAGAAGGTGCACATGATTTGAATTAATCCAGTTATTGTCTACTAGTATTGATGTAATCAAATTTGGGTGTGGGTGTGGGTGAGGATCTCCATTTCATCACACTCACACTTTCAGCCGCAGTCACACACCCACACCCACACCCATTTGGTAGATTTGTATAAAATTGCTAGTATCACTATAAGTTTATGTCGCAAAACGGACTGAAGAAAAATCTGTTTCAAAATAGAGACAATCAAACTATCTTCTTATCATTGGTTATACAAGCTAGATCGTATTTCACATTTTAATACTATAGGGATTCCGCTAACAGTCTTTACACAATAGAATATCTGATAACGATGCAGTTTTCAATTATTTTTGCATAATACCCTCTAGATAAAGCGTTTTCATCATCATCATTACAATATGTCATGAGGGCATTGCATGCATCTGCTCGATTTCACAACAGTGATACTGCGCACCAGTATTAAAAACGCATCGATTTTTCTTATTGTTGTCAATAGCGGATACGCAAAATGCTGATTATTCTTACTACGACAGTGTTGTTCTTATCATTAAACTTGGGTGTCAATGGAGGATTTTCATGCGGCACCGATGGTTTGTTTGCTAATCCATATAATGCAAGTTCATTTTTTCAATGTAAATCCGGTGCGGCAACTTTGATGCCTTGTCCAGAGGGACGTGTTTGGAATCAAGATAAAGAGTTTTGCCATTGGAAACCAGCTAAAGGTAAATATGAATGTTAAAGATTCAACGAAATGTCCTTGAGCTAGATAGCCAGCACAGAGAGTTGATGCACTTGAATCAAGAAAAGACTTAGAACGAAGAGCATGAGTCTCTCGTCGTCATACATCTAGGCCAAACTATAAACAAATCATACTCGATAATTCTTGCATTCTCTTTCCTGAACTATAAACATCTACACTTACAAACTTGAATGAATTTCTCTCAATGACAACAAATAACTAGTAGTCGGTTTATCAAATTGTTATGCAAGTGTTCGTCATGGTAATCATCTTGTTTTTGTTTTCAATTATAGTGAATAAACAACGATATCTGATTGTAGCTGGTGGTAATACACAGACAGGTAAATGCTTGGATATTGCTGGTGGTAACTCCGAACTTCATGCTCAAATTCAATTGTTCCGTTGTCATGGAAATGAAAATCAACAATTTGAATTGAACAATGATAATACTCTTCGTGTCATGGGCAAATGTCTGGATATTCCCGATTCGAATGCACGTGATCATCAGTACATACAATTATTTACTTGTCGTCCGGAACAACAAAATCAACAATATTCCTTTGATCAACACGATCGTATCCACGTGATGGGAAAATGCTTAGATGTACCGAATGGTAATGTGGTCAATAATAATCCATTGCAATTATTTCGATGTCACAATCAACTAAGTCAACGCTTTACATTGATACCAGTTTAATAAATTGTTGTCCAAATCAATAATATATGAGCATTGAAAATTGAATGTCTTGAAAATGAAGATTTACAATAAAATATTCATCGACAGAATAATCTAATCTCGTTTCAGCAATGATAAATATCTTGAAAGCTCTATAAGTATTATCGAAAAATATCGATTTATTCAACTCATTTTCGAGAAAGAAAATAAAATAGAAAAAAGATATACAAATTAGTAACATGTTGAGAAGAACAGCGCAATCGCAGCATCAATTGAGCTTACCATGAGGAAAATTTTACTGTTTCCGCGCAAGATCCTTGACGGATTTGGTAAGAATCCTGCAATGATTCACTGTTTTTCCTGAGGAAATTATGAATTCCTAAATAAAGCGTGTAGCCACTAAATTACAAGATCTCCATAGGAATCGAAACAGGATTTTATCAGAATCTTGACCAGTTTACTATTATATTTGACATCAGGAATTTATCCAGGAAACAATGAACCTTGTTAGAAACGTATAGCCACTAAATGGCAAAGATTTTTGCAGGGTTTAAAACAGCATCTTAGAAGAACCCTGAACAGTGTTTTCTTGGTGTGTGTGGGTGTGGAAGTGACTTTGTGCGAGTGTGGTGTCGATGTGCGTCTTCTCATCATCTATACCCACAACCACGTTCATACTCACACTCACATTCACATCCACACCTTTCACTATTCGAATCTATGATATAGTGCAAGATGATGATTAACTTTAGTTCAGAAGATTGAAAGACCTTTATTCTTCTTTTTCTCTCGTTTTCGTTGTATTTATTGGATAATTATACAGTCCAGTCGAATATTAATAATAACAGAGTGAAATACAGTTCGATCTATGAGAAGAGAAGACGTTACATTTTGCAATAGATAATCAAAAGCATTTGAAAAACACCAACGAATAATCTCTGATCATGTTCAACACTTCGTACGTTTGAACTTTCTTCAGTAATAAGAAAATCAAAATCTATTATTTTACTTGATTATATCTTAGAAATATTCGTCTAAACTGTTAAAGGAATAAATTCATTTTTATATTTGAATATTCATCGATTACAATCATTCAATAATACTTCTTCACGTGATCGAATATAAGAGATTTTTCCTGTAGAATTATCAGTTTGTTGTAATATTGTTATTCCTGTTCGATTATGAAATTGTTGACGAACAGATCTTGGAACTAGAGCAATGAATAATTCACGTCGAAAACTTGGCGCTCCCAATGTATAAACAAGAAATGAAATCTAAATGAAATCAAACAAGAATTTCTAAATTCGCTTTTCTAACGCTTACTGCATTAAATAAATAAAGAAAAAAAATTGTACTAAATGTAAGAGCGAATGCTTCAATTGCATTACGTGCGGTTGACTTATTCGATGGTGGGATATTCTTTGTCAATACAGTGTAAATCATCACAGCAACATAAGGCCATGTTGTTGTGATANGGGGGGGCTTAAGATCTGACTTTTATGCAAATTTCATTAAAAGAACCTCGTTTCATTTTTTTGTGTTTTTTTTACGTTAACAGTACTTGGTTGGGTCAAAAAACTTTTGGCCCATTAATGAAAACCTTGCCCATTTCGCCCATCATTTTTTTCTAGCATAAGAGAACTTTGCCCATTGGTCTAAAAATCCTGGCTACGCCCCTGTATATATTGATTCATTCTTAGTCATATAATCTTTCAGAAAGATAAGAGTTTGCACTAATACACACATCTATGTTTGATACATTGAAAAGAGGAAAACTGAGTACTATTATGTTCTATATAAAGGTGATAATATCATTACACTGATAGGATCATGAGAATTCTTGGATTTTTCGTTCTATTACGTTTTTCTCTAGTGCTAGACACTATTGATATTATTAATTTCATTTCATTTGGTATTGAATATAAAGATAAAATCTTTGGACAAGAACTTAACGATATAACTGATTCAATATTAATTTCTGTTCGATATGCTTTCTTTAATCAATATTATGATAAAGTTCATGTTTCCCGTCATGGTTTAATTATATTAGGAAATAATAGTTATTTATTATCGCTTAAAATACCGGATCAATTTTCTCTTGAAGATTTGGTATATGTCACATCTTATTGGATTGATACAAATAACACAAACGATTCAATTAGTAAGATCTTTTATCGCAAAGTTTTACTGAAGAACGAACGTAATGCTCTTTCAAAAATAAGTGAAACTGTACATAAAGGATATTCTAAATTAGCTGTTCAACGAATGTTGTGGACATTTATTGTCACTTGGCATCAACTATCTAATAGTAAAAATTCTACAAATCGAAATACTTATCAAGCAATATTAAATACTAATGGATTTTATTTATTTACTTTATTTATCTATCATAAATTACAAGGGTCACAAGGTTCATCAAGTATTCATTCGCAAATTGGATTTAATACTGGTGATAAAATGAAATATTATAAAGAGAAAATGTATTTTTCGCCGTTAGTATTGACTATTGTTAATGATTCAAATATAGATATACCTGATCAGTTGGTAAGTATGTTCTTCGCCGAAAACAAGATCGTCGAAAACTCACATCGCCGACTCGACGTGGAAATTTACGGTGCGTTTCCACGTCGTGTCGGCGATGTGAGTTTTCGACGATCTTGTTTTCGGCGAAGAGCATTACATTCGATCAGTTTGTATTTCATGCATCAGATAATTTTAGTGATATACAATATGTAACATCTACTGGTTTACAAGTTTCTTCATTTCGAGGTTCAATTTATGGTCGATATGAATTTCGATTAGATGGTATTTGTTTTAATAAATCTGTCTATGAAATACATATTCATAATCAAATATTTAATGATTGTCATGTACTTAGTACATTATATATTGTTTGTCTTATGCCTATGTTGATCGATAGTGGTAAAATAAAAATAGAAGTATATGATCGAAAAGATAAAATTCTTATAGATTCTATTGAATTTCTTGCTCATGTACCAGAAGATCATGGTGAATTAATATTAACCCTTTGGTTACGGTTTTTTTAAGTTGAATTTTCTTTGTTTCGTTCCAAAACAGTCTAGAATACATTTTATTAGTATGTAGAAGCATTCAGAAATGTTTTAGAGTATGATAATCTTCAAAACAACCTATCAAACAAAGTCCAACGTTACAAACGTCACACCGAAAACGTGTATCAGTATGCTTTTTCTCGCGTCTGCTTGTATGACTACAAACTGTGCAAGATCTTCGTGCAATTTTTCCTGTTGCTGTTGGTGGAACTATAGATGGAAAATGATGTGCAGTAAGCCGTATGGGATTATCCCCGATAGTCGGACGGCCAATTGGAGGTTTGGGCTGAGCATACGGCTTACTGCACATCATTTTCCAT